TTTAGTTTTCCGACCACTGTGCGCGGCCTAAAAGGCCCATTTGCCGGGAATATACATGCTAAGTTTGTTTGTGTGCCCATATGTATATATGTATGTATGTATGTATGTATAAGCAAGCATCCGCACCGAACGTTAGGCATATTAAGTTACTAATCAATTAAACAATAGCTAACAGTTGTCACTATGAAAATATGCTAGGTATATTATTCTACATACATATGTATATACCAATGTAAATATGTACGCGTATATATGTACTAGACTCCTGCGCAATTCCATTTAAACGGCCCAACAAGACATCCGATCGCCGCGCAAATACTTTCCATCCCCTACTTTCATCGTTCGGGTCAATTGTGAGTAAGCATAAACCAGTTTCAGCAAGCGTACGAAACTACCGATCAATAGCAACACGCGTAGAGTATTTACTTTGCCTTCCGCAACTACCCTGCAAAAATCGCGACTACTCCATGCATGCATGTAGAGAGTACTCCCTAAGGGCCATGGAGTACTCCAAAATTAACCACAATTAATATAAAAAATATGGTCCAATTAACATTGCGATGTCCTAGGGCAGGACCATATACTCCATCTCTGCATTACATCAGAGTACCACACAACTACTCCAACATATTAACAATGGCATTGGGCGCGTTTCTAAGACGTAGCTGTTGTTAAACTGTTGAGTGTTTGTCTTCGAAACGCACAGTTGAGTAGTTCCGCTCAGCTCAACAGTTGGCAACTTTCCGCCATTTTTTCAAGCGGAAAATTTTTACGCTACCTGAACTCCACGTGGTGGGCTTAGCCTAAACAGCTGATCGTAAAGACTTACGTCGCTTGTATTAAATTTAACGCCGCTTTGTTAGGTGGCAGTTGCAAACAAATTTATTCTATTTTATATTAATGATGTTATAAAGTAACTAAAATATTTTATACGAATACCACGTTTCTAAATATCTGTTTTTAAGATGTTTGCTATATAATTATACACTGTTTAATTCATTATAACATTGAAAGATTTTTTCAACTCGGCGGCAGCTCAGCGTTGAATTCTAAATACTATTGGCGCAACTATCTCTATTTATTGCAATTTCATTTGTTTACATTTATCAGCTGTTCATAAGGCAGCATATTCATCAAGCCGTTTCTAAGACGTAATTGTTGGGTCCAACAGTTGCCAACAGTTGGCAGCAGTTGAGCTAAACAGCTACGTTTTATAAACGCTCCCATTGTTGTTATATTGCTTATGTTGTTATAGATGCTTTTTCGAAATTAATAAAAACCAAAAACAAAAATTAAAAATTACATGTTGCCTCTGACGGCAATCGAGCCCGAATATGCTGGGAGCTAACAAATAACAGCGATCAGCTCTACACGTTCAGCTACAGCCAGACATGCAAATGTGCTTTCAAATGCTCCACTTCAATCACATTTCGTTAAAACACGAGCAGTGATCGGGTAACAAACAATAAGCTGGCGCAGAGACACGAGTTGGTCCGCTACAGCATGACAGAGGAACACTTTTGTAAGTACTCCAATATACCACAAATAGACTACATGGTCCAACGATTTTTGCAGGGTACTGCGAGTAAAAGGTATTTGACAGTAGAGTACTCTACTGGTAGTACTTGAGTATTTTCGAAGAAAACATACATTTGTGGCAATAATGATAGAAGAATTTTCTGGATCGCGCATTTGCGGTATCTGAAAAAAACTAAGGACAGGAATGTAGTGGAGCGATGAAGAGAGCGACGAGCAAAACGTACTTTCAACTAAAATGCTGATATACATACCTAAGTACATATGTATGTATGTGCATAGATACGTATGTGCATAGATACGTATGTGCATAGATACGTATGTGCATAGATACGTATGTGCATAGATACATATATATGTAAGTGTCCGCATATATTTTTTCTCGTCACTTGTTCTGTCGCTTCACTGCAGCAAAACCAAGTTGTGAGGAAAACCCTGACGATATGCGTAGAATTGAAACCATGGGTTCATATTAAATATATTTATGTATGCATGGACATATGTACATATGTTAAAATGTAGTTTCGATTTAAAAAAAATCGGATGAAGTTTTTCTTTCGCCATTCATACACCTCTAATTTCTGTATTTATTAAAAAAACTCAATGAAATTCAAAAACTCTATCTTGCATTTGGTTTTACTCAATACCAATTTGAGCTGTCGCAGTATTATCAAAAAAAAAAGTTATCAATAGGTAGGTTCAGAAGGCGAAGCAGTTGAGCGCAACCGTTGCTAAACAAAAATCAGTGATCGTTATGCGTCTTTTGAACGACTTCATACATTAGCTGTAAAATTCAACTCTCAAAGGTACACACCAACATGTTGTCTCAAATGATCAGAAAAATATTACGATCATCTAACACGCAACTATTCAGTTGATCAGAAGTACGCAACAACGCGTTCAGAAGGTGCAATCGCACCAGTTACTGAGCTGTTTCGCCTTCTGAACGTGCCAAATGAAAATTCGTTTCTCTTGAAATCAAGTTATATGGCTGCGTATGTATGTATGTACATATGTATGTACATATTCCGAAATTTTTTTTATTTGTAAAGGCTCTCAAGAAAAAAACTAAAAATTCATATAAAATTACGCACAATAAATGGAAAATAAATTTTCTTCTATAAAAAATTTCTTAAATCAGTATGCAGCTCTTAAGAAAAAAATGCTCGTACATCTCGTCGCTACCATGTCCAACTATCGAATGTGAAAATCGGCACTTTTCAAAATTTTGATTTGCCACTAATAATTTTATTTCGTATAGCAGCATTGCTTAAGTTATTGTTTTTGACAACTTATTTGTTGGTTAATGACTGCAAATAGTTTTATAGAAAATTAGAGATGAGAAATAATACTTTCATAAAAATTTAAGTACATACATATGTAGATTTAAAAAGCTGCTTGAATACAAAAGTTTTATGAAAATGTCACATTAAACAACTGTCTAAATCTACGTTATTTTTTTAACGTAAACATTTCCTTACATCGTCGATTTCCATATTCTATTTTTACTCTTTCAATTTCACTGACCAGCGCTGCAAACGATATCAACTAGTAGGCTAACAACCAGAATTGAAATTTAATACGCAAGTACTTACCGTACTACAAGTATACAGAGAGTAGATTTGCTACTCCCTTTTGGCAGCAGCAAATATCTCTCGTACGCGATGAGGGAAAGTAGAGTACATACTTTGGTGGAGTAATAGCAAGTACGTCAAGTATTTACTCTCTCAACGCCAAGTAGTGTATGTAAGGGAAAAAAAGTAACAATGTGTTGGGAGTAGAGTACAATGCAAGGAGTACTTATTGAATGAAATGCGGCAAATACAATTGCGCTGGACTCTAATATGTACATATGTACACTGTATAAGTATGTACGTTTTAAATGAATCCCTGTAAAAAATTGTGCGACTAATCTCTAAAGAGAGTATTCCGAGATTACTCTCAATCGGGTAGAATTGGGCATTAATTAGTCCCTACTAGTCTCATACGGGTACTAATGGAGGTCAATTAGTCTCGACTCATCCCTTATGGGTATAATTGGAGATCAATTGGTCCCCAACTCATTTCTAACGGGTACTATTAACGATTTAATGATATGTACGCACTTAGTCAATGAAATTTCATGTGCGGCGTTGGCACACAGAGAGAGTATTCGCCTAACAAAACTAGCAACCCGGTTCGAATCTCAGCTGGCGCAAATTTTTATTTTTATTTTTTAAAAGTGATTAGTCGCTTTTTATACCCTTTCGGGTATAAAGGTGAACAATTAGTCTCTTCATAGGACATGCTCGAACAAAAGCGATCAGTTCATTCCATATAAAGAGATCAAAAGTACGACTTACACATTTAAGTAAGTCTATACAACAAATCACAAAAAACAATAATGCACTTAAGTACACAATATGCGTACAAATGTGCTCCTACTAATCAACAAAGTAAATGTGACTATTTCACGGTGTATATATGAATGTCTTTAGTATGTACACATGCACTTTATCAAAAAACAACTTTACAATTTACACTTAAAATGGTTTGTAAAATTTCCAAACGCGTTAAATTCAAGTTTGAACGATCGAAAACAAAAGTCAACCAACCGCTCGAGGCAACAGTTCGATTGCGAATGCTCAGCGCTTAGCGCCAAACAAAGCTCAGAGAAGTGTATGGCAAAGTAAAATAATTTTTTAATGGGTTTTTTTATGTGATTTTTATTTCTTTTTTTTATTTTGTCTTTAAACCGTGTTCAATATCTTCTTCGAACTGATTGTACATATACAGTAACATAAACAAGTATTCACGTGTTGATGTTTTTTAAATATTCAAAATGTTTTTCCAGTTATTTTATTTTTTTTTGTTATTTTTCTGTAAAAATATTGTTCAAGCTTTGGCCAA